TGTTAAATTTCATGATTTATATCAGTATTGACTGATATGAGAAAAATATATTGTAATAAACTTTTTCCTGTATCGCCCAGCCCTAATGCTATATAATCATTTCAATTTGAGCATATGGAGACTTTCCATTGAGGCTCTGGTCAATAACATTCCTCAAACTTGTGCAATACATATTTAAGGTAATATATGAAATTAATTTCCATTACTAGCTTGCTACTTTAACCAGTAAACGTGCAGAGCTGGAGATATAGTAACCAAATGATGGAGTTCCCTCTCACAACACTGTTGCCTTACCTTGTGTCACAAACAATATAAACCAGGGGAGCAACAAAAACTGCTGATGTGCATAAAAATGCATGAATTAAATATCATGATAGACCTGAAAATCACACTGGGTCTGGGTCTTCTACTGTGCAGAAATAGCTGGGAACTCTCTACATGTGGTGCTGTAAATAGACCGATGGGTACCAGCACTGTCTTTACAATTAACCCCTCCATTATGGTCTATTACAGGGACGTCCGAGCCCCGAACCCCAGAGAAACACAGAGATTTGAGTCGGTTGCTGCCGACTGAGGAGATGTAAACAGTGAACAGGTGGTCATTTGTTTAGCATCCACATTCACACAAAGCACTATAACCCCCATGGCTTTATGTTGCCTCAAGTCTCGGCAGGTCTACTTTCAGCATTTGCACCATGTCCACAACACATAAGCAGGGTAATATTAAGGGAAAAGGCACGGTTACGTTGCTAACCCAGTTTTCTGACAGGCTAGCTTGCTCCATCACTAGATATGCTAAGTTAGCCTCAACATAAAACCTCAAGTCTCACCACTTCACACGGCGCTCCCACACTCCGGACGGTGCTCGCATAATACTGCGATGCTGCACGGTCAAGGTGAGTGCTGACAGGTCCCAAAAGATAAGGCAGGAACACGAGAAAACCTGCTAATGAACTAGCGGAGTGTTTATCCAAACACTGGCAGCTCTGGCTGTGCTACTGCTGCTGCTCTTCAGGACAACACTTCCGCGTAGAGAGAGGGGAGAGGGAAGGGAGCCGACGAGGGCAATTCGTAATTCGTTTGTGTTAGTAGATGAACCTGCTCGTTGAAGACCGAATAGGCGATTACTGTAATGTGTTTTTTTTTTTTTTTTTCTTACAGAATATGTTGTAGTGGTGGTGATTTAATGATCTGGTTACTTCTATAGGATTATTTTGATTTTTTTTTTTATCCGAATTCTTTAAATAATAATGATCTGCTTACATCTATTAGATTATTTTGATTTTTTTATCTGATTTTTTTTAAGAATGATCTGCTTACGTCTATTAGATTATTTTGTTTTTTTTTAATCGGAATTCTTTAAATAATAATTATCTGGTTACTTCTATAAGATTATTTTGACTTTTTTATCGGAATTCTTTAAATAAAAATTATCTGGTTACTTCTATAAGATTATTTTGGTTTTTTAATCAGAATTCCTTAAATAAGAGTACTCTAATTTAATAGAATTTTCTTGTAAACCTCTTCTTTTAAAAAGCTCTGTGGTCTGAGTAGTTACTTTTATAAGAGTACTCTGATTTTTTTTGTTTGTTTGTTTGTTTGTTATCTGTTAACCAAAAAGTACTCTTATTTCTTTCTATATCAATTTCTTATTGATTCCTTTAAGAACTAATTCCTTTGAAAACTCTAATTTCTTAGAATCTTATTACATTTAATCTGATAACTTTTAAAAGTACTCTGATTTCTTATGTGATTACTTTGAAAATAAGTTCTCTCATTGCTTGGATTATGTGATTACTTTTATAAGAGTACTCTAATAATATGGGTCTAGTTGCGCCTTCTCCCTCTTTTTCCCTTAACCTCCATTGTTTACTTCCTTACCTTCCCTTCCTCATCCTCCTTCTTCTTTTCCTGCCTCAGTGTTCCTTTGTCCCTACATGAACTTTGTTCTCACCCTGCACTGGAATCGAACCAGAAACCATTTCACTGACAGTCAGCAGTCTTAACTATTTTACCACAGGACTGCCTGATGGTGCCTCTTTTCTTTGGACTTGACATTCCTTCATCATTTATTATGCTTCTTTAAGAGGCAGCAGTCTTCCACGGCACAGCTGAGTCTTGCTGAGTTTGCTTTTTAGGTGTTTTCATTTCATTGTTTCATTGTTCAGAAGCAGCTTAAACTACATGGGAGGAAAACATATCCTTCCACACTCTCAAATGCTATTTTGCAGGGCTTGCTCGTGTCATTTAGTCTGTTTTCTATTATGTTGTGTTGACGACAAAAGCATGGTCCAGACTGCAGTTGTAGGACGCCAGGACTTTCTAACCATTCAAGGAAAGCCTGCCTTTCTTAAATTTTATCTCTGAACCCATTTCCCATGAGGTGTCAGCACTTACCCACTACACTAAGGTGCTGTTTTACATTTTTTTATTCAAGTATGTCTCCTTTCCATTACATTGTGTTGATTCAAAAGCTCAGGCCAAACCTCTGTGGTATAATGCTATAATGCTTGCTTTAAATGAATGGGTCAGTGCTGGGATTTGAACCCAAGATGTGTATATTATCATCCATCTGTGTTACCATTACACTAAGGTACCACTAAGCTCCATTACTGTCTATGTAAGTATATCTAAGTGAATTTCATCTACTAGAGTGAATCTCACAATTTGAAGTTTGCATCTTTTTGAGACTTAATAATCAACATCAGTGAAATGCAAACAAAATATATAAGGATATAAATGTGAATAAAGTGGAGATACAATAATCTCAGGACTGTCATATTTTTAGAGAAACTTATCCAACAGGTTTAGCTGAGTTAAATGTGCAATAGAACTTTTTCATTTGTTTTCATTGTACGCTTTGTATTGTTTGAACTCTTATTTTTCAGTTCAGGTTTTGGGAGCTGTTGGGAGTACTTAAACTTGGTGAAATTGCTTAAAATCTCAACAGGACCGCTCCTTAATATGTTTTTAGTTTATAATTTACAATTTATTTTATTCCTTATTTAGTATTTTTTTTTTATTTATTAGCCTTGCAGTTGTATCTTTGGATTTAATTTATCTTCGCTTAAAGCTGTTTGATTATTTCAATGTGTTTTTACCCGCATGTCATATAACTACATTTCACAGCCAGTTTAAGAAAAGACTTCAATAATTACTGCTTCTGTTAAAGACAGGGGTATTATAAAATTACTATATTTATTTTTATCATTTTAACTTTGAATTGTTCATTATGAGCCTGAGGGCCAGTTATCGTAATAGAAAGGATTAATGCAGACCACTGCTGCATTTGTTCCACAGTGTCAGAGTCAAAGTAGACTTTGAAAGGGTTGTTGCTGTAAACACTCAGGCATGTGTTTTTATAATGTCAGCTACATGTATAATTTTTCGGGTTTTAGTGATTGCGAAGCAAATGTAACTACATTTAAAAAATGTCAGGAGGCTGAAGTTAGCCAGGGCCAAACATGGAATGATATTTCTTAAATTTTGTTAAGGTGTTTTCTATCAAGAATAAAGTGATTATTCTGCATTCATTGGTCTTGTTGTGGATTTTTTATTATCATTGGTGAACTCTGATCAAACTAAGGTGATGAAACTTATAAAAGCCTGTATCCAATACATATGATGGCTTACCCTAAGGAAACTACCACTTAACATATGACTAGGATGCAGTAGGTAATAGTCAGTGTTAGTAAATCAGATTAGTGAGGAGACATAAGAAAAGTAATTACAACTCAAAAAGATTCATTCTCATAAATACGTAGGGGAGAGTGGGGTAAGATGAGCCCTTTTTCATGTTTCAGATCACTACATCAAGGCAATCATAGTTTTGTCTCTAACTAGTGTATCTGCATATATTTCAAGATGTTGTTCATCCCTGCAAACCAATAGAATGAGTGTAAACATAACTGTCTTGATAATATAGCATGCCAAAAAAAGTCTCCTATGGTCAACTTACAGCACGTATGGGGTAAGTTGAGCATAGAAGCGGGGTATGTTGAGCCGTATCCCTATTCAACTGGAACAATAATCCTCTTTATTATTATTGCATATAACTGCTGAAAAGCTGTTTTGTAAAAAAAAAAAAAAACATTTTAACATGAGAATGTCTTTAAGTGATTAAGAACATTCACAGCTGTATTTTTGAAAAGAAAATTTTCAACAATCTGAACTGAAACTCTGATCCTCTCATCAGACTTCTTTACTTTCTGTGTTTAGCCACTGGCTCAACTAACCCCAGAACTACTATTATGACTTTATTAGTCCTCTAAGCTAAAATGGTGGACTTTTATGCTTGGTTTTTGACCTCATGTTGTAGCTCATAGATACCACAACTGATGTATAAAACAAATATAAAATGATCTTTTTTGGTCTGAACACAATTGTAATTAAAATTATGACAGACTAAATTCACTTTCAAGAGTGAAACATATTTTGGGGGGGAAATAAATGTCTAACCCCTTCATCCATGTGCTTCATACCTTCACAGGCTCCATGAATTGATGGCCATCACCTAAATATTTGGTCACATGATTAATTACTTCCACCATTTCCAAGCAACAGGGAGTGGCTCAACTTACCCTTTGGCTGAACTTACCCCACTCTCCCCTACTAGCCGATAAAAATGTGATATTTTATTGAAAATATTCAATATTGTTTGATGAGAAAACTCTGAACTAGTATCTTTATGTTGGCATTACAAAGCAACAATAGTGGTCATAACTAAAAATGATAAACTATTTACCTTTTTTTTACTTTTGACAGTGTACTTTCTCATAGTTAGCTTTAAATTGTATTCTCATTCAATGCATTTAAAGTTCAATTTTTTGTTAGCCTTGCAAAAATTGCAACATAGTGTGAAAATACCTATAGTTTCCGTACTTCATGTAAACGCCCTCCTCTCTCACTGTTTCGGTGTTTCTCTCCGCACACCCACAGCATATGGGCGTAAATTTCCAGCCACCAGCTCCTCCACCCTGAACGCAACCTCCCAAAATAGCAGTGCGACTTCGGGAAGCCTCGGGAAAAAATGGCTGAAACTGTTTCACCAGTAACTCGACAAGTTACCAAAGAAAACCAGAACACTTGGACTCCATCCGTCGACATTCGTCTTGAGGACGTGGAGGACTGTTTAATATACGACCGACATGGAGTCTCTATTCCGTTCAAGAAATTATATCAAGACAGGAAATCGGTGGTAATTTTCGTCCGGGTATGAGAAAAATCTTTGTTTGGCTTAACCTTGCTGATCATGAGTCACAGGCTAACGTGCCTGAAGCTTCGTTTTATCACAAGATGCTCAAGTCTAGTGAATTTAGCCCCTAAAGAGACCATCAAAGTAGGCAACAGGTGAGCTCAGCATGGCTGGACAGATGCCTCAACACCTTCACAGGCTGTGGAGGAATGAAGAGATCATGTCTATAGGTGAACACGGAGAGCTAAATGGGAAAAAAAGCGAAAAATGAGTTAAAATGAGAATTGCATTATTTGCTGTAACACTACAGCCTGTTGACGTTTATTTTTGCTTTCCTGTGTGTCTCTGCAGAGTTTCCTGTGCTACAGCTGTAAAGAATATGTAGATGATCTGAGCAAAATTCCCAGAGAAACTCTGGAGGTAAGTCCGGATTTGGAACCATCAGCACACTGGACATCAAATGTTTGTCATACTGTTATTGGGGGCTACTTAGAGATCCTGTTTTGAGAAAACAGGGTGATATTTTTGTCAGAAACAGTATTTAGACATGTGCAGGACAAAGTCAGCAAGTGAGATGAGGATCAACTTTGTCCTGTCCAGAGGGCACTTTAATCGACACAAATAGGAAGCGCTTACAGAAGTAAAGATGTTATATTCCTTTTTAGTATCTCAGTGACAACACTCTAAAATCTTCTGAGCTTAAACTTTAGGACTCAAAAGTATGTCAGGGAAAAGTCACTATCTAAGGTACTTAAAAGATGTGGGGCAAACCCCTGCGCAGGGCCGGCCCAAGCCTCAATGGGGCCCATTGATTTTGATTTTGGGCCCTGCATTTCCGCCAATAATATTGATTGTTAATCATTCACACACCCTCTCAAATCTCTTTGATTAACATTCCATGACATGCAAACATACCTTTATCTTGGCATTTTTTCTCTCTTCCTCCCTTTTCCTCTTTCTTTTCTCTGCTCCTGAAGGATATGTCCTTTTTTGCGACATTGTTTTACCCCACAACTACCTACGCTTTGGATGCTCAGTGCACATAGCACAGCAGGAGACACTAACAGTAGTGGAGCTTTGACATATCGGCAGTAAGAATCATAGGCCTACATCAGCAGCAGCACTATAATGTTTTTACTTTATTTTATTTTTACAGTAACATATATTTGATCATACAGAAAGCATCACTCATACATGCAAAAAATTATATATATATATATATATATATATATATATATATATATATGTGTATGTGTGTGTGTGTATATATATATATATATATATATATATATATATATATATATATATATATATGATTGCTCTTGGGGGCCTCTGACTGGCCGCGGGGCCCTAAGCAGGCGCTTAGTTAGCTTATGCCATGGTCCGGCTCTGCCCTAGCGCATGATCAAAAACACAATTTGCCAATGTTTTGACTTCAATATTGATCTCCAATGTGCACCTGCTCTTTGAAGAGATATTGAGAGATAAGTTATTCCTTTATTAGTCCCTCAAGGGGAAATTCCCATTTCAGTTCATCCAGTCCAAGAAACATAAAACAGACTTGTTTAAGTTGCCATAAGGAACTTTTGGCTTGAGTTGGTTTTGGGGCCCCCTGTGGACAAAGAGATATCTCTTATGTCTTGTCCTGCACAAATGAAGCAAGTTGTCTTTTTGGACAAAAACCTCATCCTGTTGTCTTTTAAGAGAGAGATGCATCATTTACTGTTTGAATTTGTCATGGAAAAAGGATTTTCTCTTTTGACTACTACCCCCGCACAGCAGTTTCAGGCCTCAGAAAATCACAGTAGGACCATTTTCTGTCATGTTGCTGATGTTCTTGGTTGCTTTTGAATTTCACAAAGAGGCTTCAGTATAAGTTTTAGCCTGTTTCTCAACCAGTTAAGCACTCCTCACAGTGCCTTCAAGTTTAAATAAAAAATGGAAGCAGCGTGTTGCAACACAACCCTAAAAGTTGATTTTAACTGTAGAGAGTGAGTGTGATCCAACATTTTTCCTGAATAATACAAACTTGGATGTTTTTTGTGACAGGATGCCAACATTAGACTGGTTGTGATTGGCCAGTCTTCTCACCTTCATATAGAGGTAACATATTTCTTGAGTCTTAAACACACTTTTAAGTCATCCTCTCCTCCTCCTCCTCTTATTATGCTGATTTACGTTTTGTTATCTTTCAGTCATTCTGCTCACTGACCAGGTATCCTTATGAAATGTATGTGGACCCAGAGAGGAATATTTACCAAAAGCTTGGGATGAGGAGAGAGGAGATATTTACAGAGTCAGGTGAGGTGATAACAAATTGACCATAAATAAACCCTGTGTTTTCGGAAACAGATAGCACTGAAAAAAAAACATGTGATTGTGTGTGTTTGTTAGCCCACCCTAGTCCCCATGTGAAGTCTGGGATGTTTACGGGACAAGTAAAGAGTATATTGAGGGCTATGGCCAGCCCTGTGTTTGACTTCCAGGGTGACCTACATCAGCAGGGTGGAGCCATCATTGCAGGTCCAGGTAAGCTTCTCTCCTTCATTCTCTCTTGGCCTCTGTCATGTTCATCTTTCTCTTTCCACCCCTCACTCTTTGTTCCCTCCCCAGGTTCTCAAGTTCATTTCACCCATTTTGACACAAACCGCCTGGACCACATGCCCATCAACTGGCTCCTGCAGCTCGCCGGGGTTCAACAGACTCTGGACTTCAGCGATAAGCCAAAGATCATCCACGTGTAGAGGGCGGGTGGCCCTGAAACTCCGCCTCAACCCAAACCACAGTTATCAAAACATACAGTGATGTATGTGTTGCTTGTTAGTTACAGCAGTTCTTTAAACTGAACATTTGCAACCATAGGCGGCTCAGGCAACATTGTTCAGTGACAGACACTTGTGCTTTAGTAGGTTTAGTGCAGTGGTTCTCAACTGGTCTCACTCTGGGACCCACATTTTCCCATGGTCCTTAAGTTTTTCTTTTATAAAATTCAAACCAAGCTAATTTATTTCTTATTAAAAAAAACTTTAAAGACTCAAATCTTTGACTTAAATACACCTATTTTATTGAGTAAAGTGCACTTCAGAGCACATGAACTGAGGATGAAAACTGCTAAAGGTGCGTATACAGAAAATATCAAATTGCACATAATGGAGACCAGCAAAATGAAAAAAAATGACTTATTTGCATCTCTGCACTCAGAGCATATTTAGAAGAACCTGAGGAGGACCATGCAAAAGCATGGACAAAAGTAAATAAATATCAAATTGCACAAAATGAAGACCATTAAAAAAACATGTAATTTTACTGCATTCAGGCCACATTAATAAGAAACCAAGGAGGACCACGACATAATGCGTCCCTATCAAAATAAGATCGTTTTCAATATAAGACATGTCAAACATCAGATGTGCATTAAGTATTTACTTTTTTGACCAGCTGTTCGCGACCCATCCAGAACGGTCCATGTATTATCCGTCCATTCAATTATTCCATTCAATCTAGTAAATGAAAAAACGAGTCAATATTTTGTTTATTTGTTTTCTGTACAGCCAAAAAATTAAAGATTCGCATTGCATGACAAAGTTGCCAACAATGTGGACCAAAAACTCCAGGCCAAAGTGGTAGAGAAAGGCTAACCTGCTGTCATGGATTTTGGCGCTCGAACCGCTCTGTCGCATCTTTCGCCATGGTAACTGTCGCTGGGGTTCATGGGAAGGCCAATGTAGCCTCCATGCATGTATACTCAAAACAGGCGCACTCAAAATTAATAATTGTAAATAAGATTTATTATTTTGTTGTCGTTTCCTTCTCTATTATATATTCTGTTTTGAGCTGAAAATATGAAAACAATCAAATTTTTTTTTATTTTTTGGTTATACAGAAAAACAAACAGAAAAACAAAATATTGACTCGTTTTTTCGTTTCTTTTACTAGATTGAATGGAATAATTGAATGGACGGATAATAAATGGACCGAGAATGTGTCAGCGACCCACTTAAGGGCCGGGGCCCACCAGTTGAGAACCACTGGTCTAGTGGTTACTTCTCTGTAATGATCAATAACTTTTTCAGCATTGTCCTTGAAATGAGGTTTTTTTTTGTCTTGTGAAAGCTTAATTGGACCAAGTGAAGACATTTTGTGGACACTAAGTCTGTCTTTTCCTTCTACATCTTTCTTATTCTGTCAGAGTCATATGATATATTTTGTTATTCAGAGATGATTGTGTGGTTAATATGTATCAGTGATTCATAATCACTGATATGCACTTTTCTGACAGTGTTTATTACTCCGCAAATAAATTCAGTTGTGACTTCTTGGCTACATTTTACTCGGGTCATGCTTCCCACAAACCGACACTAATTCATATCATATAAAATCAATCTGTTCAGCACTTTAGACTCCATTCCCATCATGTTCATCTGGGCCTATAGTGCTGCTGAAATTGAACAGTAAAGGGTGGGCACTGGACATCTAATCCTGATACGTCACATGCAGGGGATTCAGAAAGCAGAAACCTGCCCCTGCTCACAGACGTCACCACCAACACCACCACAGACAACTGCACCTCGACTGACACATACACAACACACGGATCCTCAGCAGCAGCAGCACAGGACAGAGGAGCCAGACATGCCATAATACGGCAGCTAAACGGGGACAAGCCTCTGCACTGAGGAGCTGTTGAGGTCTGTTGCGGCAGCAGCAGTAGTTCAGGAATGTGCACCGTGCAGCAGCCCCTGAGGAGGAGAAAATGAAGCGCAAGAGCGAGAGGAGACGAGCCGAGTCGAGGAAAAAACGCTGTGCAACTCACAACAGCTCGGAGGCGGCGCCAAACTCAGACGTTTACATTGAGATAACAGGTAAGCGGGTCTGCAGGATGAACCCTGTCAACTTTGAGCCCAGTTGGCAAATATGCGCAGGAGGTCCTAGCAGGATGCGCGTGCGTTTCAAATTACTAGGATACGTGAAAATGATGCGTTTTTCGGGTTTTGACCTAATATGGCGACACCGTCTGTATCTTTATTGTTAAAAAACTGGATATGCATCGACTAACTTTGGCATTGTCCACGCACACACACACACACACACACACACACACACACACACAAATATATTTCACGGATCAGTTTTGCTCTGTTATTTCCTTTTAGGAGCAAGAAATTACACCTAACCCTGACTTTGTTTGCCCTATTTGTCCAGTTAGTTCTCAAAGAGTTCTTTGTGTACAAAGAAAATGAGAAATTGATGCATGGACGCCTAAATAAATCTCATCCATAGCTAATTTTCATAATTTCGATGTCGTTTTCCTGGTTCCTGTCCCTACGCAGCTCAAATCTGAAAGAGGGAGGTTCATCCTTTTGGAAATCACGAATGTGATTGGCTCAAGGATCGTCCTAGCAACCGCTTGGGCAACCTTCCCGGGGCCTATCACGTGTCTTCAATAGAGAACTTTAAACTAAAATGGGCGCGGCAGAACTTGACGGACTGCTCTTTCCTCCAATCAAGTTGTTCTCTGCATATTTCTCGGCCAATAGTGTCTCACAGAACAATACATGGGAGGAGTCAAGTGAAGATCAATTTTAGCAGAGTGCGCACTTACACTGGAACTCTCCTACCCTCCAAGTGCCAACTTTCTCCCCTCGTCGAGCTGAATGAGGCTCGAAGGACGATTTTATAACTTTATTTTTTTAAGTTATCGCTCTTAACCAACTTTTTAAACATCTCCGTCCTCTATCGTTGTGAGTTTTACTAAGTATGCAGCTTTTCTTGTGAACGAGATAAACCTTGAACGTTTTCCGCAAGACATCATGTTCAGAACTGCGAGTAAGACGAGTGCGGACGATATTTCGTCAAGATGCATTGAGTTTATCAAAGGTAAGTAGCTTCAAAATGCACATTATACGTGGCTGGGGTCGGGGATTTACGAATGAAGGGGAAACGTGGGACTGGAGAAGTGTGTATGCATGACAAAAACAAGTAACTGGCTCTTTATGTTGTCGCCCTACCCCCCCTCCTCCCTCCACCAGATCAGTTATATTTCGCCTTACTGAAGCAGAAGATCAAGAGCACAGCTGAGAGACACTGTTTCTGCATCGATGAGGAGCTGGCCTATGAAAAGTAAGTTGTTCATTTGCACCCTCACATTTTGGGAAGACTTTCTTTTACCCTTTTTGTGATTTTTTTAATGCATTTCTTTATTTTTTACAATGCTGTGCCCCTTTGTCGTTGCATCTCCTGCCAGAAGACAGACTGTACACATGCCTGTGATGCATGCAGCTTCTTGCACTGCTGCAGTCATTTAAATAAATGTTGCTGACAATAAGTTGTAGGGAGTAGACCTACACATACCATTTCAAATGCAAGAAGTCTGTCTTTAATTGCAAAGTTAGAAATGTTTTAAGTAAAGACTTGTACAAGTATTTTAATGCACTTCTAAAGATGCAAAAAGAAGCATTTAATCTCAACGGCACTGAACATAAATGAATAAATATTTTTGACACAGCCAAAAGTGCAGTTTCAGAGTTTGTAACAAAGGTCAAACCTGCTTCAAAAGGCTACAGGATAAAACATGGTGACCTTTGCAACCAATGACACATCCTCATTGCAGCATTTTGTCCTGTTCTGACCTTCTCCTTCAGCATCAAATGCTTCCAGATTTAGTCATGTCTCTGTCAGTGTTTTTATCGGTTCAGTCTGATGTAGCTGAATCTATCCAGTGAACCTTCCCCAGAGATCCGACTGATGCATAAATAGGCACTCTGACACACTCTTTCTTCTTTTTTTTTCTTCTCCCTCCCTACTCTCCCTCTCCCTCTCACAGCTTCTATGCGGACTTTGGTCCCCTTAACCTGGCCATGTTTTATCGCTTCTGTTGCAAGCTGACAAAGAAGCTCAAGGTAAAAGTCAACCTCTGCTCCTAATTGCACTTCCTGGAAGAGAGAAGGGAGAGAAAAACCTGGGTCAATCAATATTGAGTAAAGCCTGCAGTAAGAAGGCAAAAAATGTGAAGGTTTGATAACTTCAATGTGGCTCAACAATAGTAACCAACTTTAAAACCGCTAGATATATGACCCTGATAAATTTGATCAACTTGACATTCACTCACCGTCTATACAGCTGCTTGAGTTTAAGCACTTGCACATGGAAGACCTGAAGTTTTTATCTTGATATTGTTAAATTGTTAGTCACATTTTTTAAATACCTGTCATTTTTGATCATCCTCATTATTTTCTTTTGTTATCACAGTCCATCACACTTTCAAGAAAGAAGATTATATTTTATACCTGTGGAGATGCGAAGAAACAAGCCAATGCTGCCTATCTGATAGGCTCATATGCAGTAAGTGGTGGAAACATGTAAATGTTACATATATTCAAGGATGTCACAAAAGAGGCATTTGCCAATTCGATGTTTGTTTTTTAAGGTAATGAACCTCAACATGCCGCCAGAGGAGGCCTACAGTCTGCTGGTGTCGAAGAATTCAACATATATTCCCTTCAGGTAATAGCACACTGTTGTCACATACAGTCATATTTGGCGAGGGTTTAATACTGCAAACCCTGGTAATGGCTGCCAATATGTTGAGCAATATTTGCTGACAGTGTCAGCAATATAAGGAAGTGTAAAAATAGTTCACATTCACTGTGTCAAGTCATGTGCCTCCTCAAAATATTGCAGGCGTGTGTAAAAAAAAAAAATGTGCCAATGATGATATTTGAAATAAACAATGTAATCGAACCATAATAAAAGAAGACAGTCTGAGTCAGGAGTCCCTTTGCTTGTAGTTTTAGTGTGACTTTGAAATAGTGAGAAAGAGAAGAAGTATGAGAACACATAGAAGAAGACAGTTGGACAGAGATGAATGTAAAACATTCACTTTAGTTTATGTAAGGAAGCAGATTATTCTCTTTTGTATAAATATTTAAAGGGGAACTAAGATCCTTCATCCTTGTTCTGTTATTGACTGTCAGTATTTCTTCTGCTTCAGAGATGCTTCCTTTGGAACCTGCTCGTACAATCTGAACATCCTGGATTGCCTCAGTGCTGTTCACAAGGTATATCAGTATAAGACACTTAATTTTAATGTGGCTGTGTCATGCTCCTGGTGAAATTAACTCTCTTTCAAACATTTACCAGGCCCTGCAGTATGGCTGGCTCGACTTCTCCAACTTTGATGTGGAGGAATACGAGCACTACGAGAGGGCAGAAAATGGAGACTTAAACTGGATCATTCCAGGAAAGTTCTTAGCATTCAGTGGACCTCACCCAAAAAGCAAAATAGAGAATGGTCCGTGCTCACCTTCCTAAAATTCATTTCTTTGAAACCATCTCCAACGTCATTGTGTAATTTCCTCACCTCATGAAGAATGTTTTTCTGTTTTCTCAGGATACCCTTTGCACGCTCCTGAGGCTTACATCCCTTACTTCAGGAATCACAACATCACAGCCGTCGTCAGACTCAACAAGAAGATGTACGATGCCAGGCGGTTCACCGAGTCTGGCTTTGAGCATCATGATCTGTTCTTTGTGGATGGGAGTACACCCAACGACTCAATTGTTAGGAAGTTCCTCAACATCTGTGAGAATGCAGAAGGGGCCATCGCTGTCCACTGCAAAGGTAAGACTTCTGACCCACATTCACTCTGCAACAAACAAGATTCATTGTCAAGCTGCTTAGGCTCACTGTGATTGATGCACGAAACCTACACTGTCTAATGTCTGCATCTTCAATATCTTTATCTCTTAGCCGGCCTGGGGAGGACTGGCACTCTGATTGGCTGCTACATGATGAAACATTACCGCATGACAGCTGCAGAGGTTATTGCCTGGATACGGATCTGCAGACCAGGGTCTGTGATTGGACCTCAGCAGAACTTTGTGGAATCGTAGGTGATTTTAAAGTATTTCTCCAAGATACAAAGAGCTGTGAACTGAGTTAAAACTTGGGAAACAAAGTGACTCTGCTTTATCAGTATTTGACTAACGATGTCACATCAATCCTAACAGTCTATGACCCCAGCATTAAAAGTATGACACAAATATGGATTGAGAACAGCTCACTTAATCGCAGGAGTTTTTGTTGTAGATGTTCAACAATGTGCTCATGTCGAGTTATTTTCTCTTATTTCTTTATTTGTATGTCAGATGTAATTAAAAAGTGTGAAGAAAATAAATTCAACAAGTCTTAATATTGTGGGGGGTTGTCAGATGCCATTCACATCCCCGTTGTTGACATGTTTTACATCAGAAAACAGAACAGCCTGTGGGCAGAGGGAGATGTTTTCCGGGAGAAAATGCTCAATGAACAAGAGAATGGAAAAATGGCTGTGACCAGGATCCTGTCTGGAGTGGATGACATCACCATCAACGGGAGCAACAAGAACAGAGTGTCCAATAAGGAAGAAGTAGGACTGGTCCGTATTACAATTCCTGTTGTGAGATGCTTCCAGAATAGAAGTTTTTGGAGAATTTCCTCAAGTTCTTTATCACCTATTCATACGTCTTTTTTTTTTTTTACAGTACAATGATGAAGAGGAGAGAAACGGCTTAACACAGGGTGATAAACTGCGAGCGCTGAAGAGCAAGAGGCAGTCCAGATCATCCACGGGTTCACTTTCGTAAGTTCCAAGGCCGTCTGCAACTCTCATCATACATGATGCCAAAGTGTTTCAGTACAGACAAATGGGAGTCGTTATACATTTACAGTTATGTAAATTACAGTGTGAAAACATAGAATTTAATAACCAGCAAGAAATACACTGAGGAGTCATCAGTACTTCTGTGACAGGTTTAAGTCATGGCTTATCTATTAGAGCTGCTTTCTCTTACACATACTTTGGCAATTCCATCCTAATACTATAACACATGAGATGGGACACCAGGAAGTGTTTCTGAAATCTTTCAATAATTCTGCTTATTTTGTCCCCTTGTGGTTCTTTTGTTTTATTTTTTTCACATGCATATCAAGGGTAAAGTAGATTTTCATCCCACCTTCATGTTAAGTCAATAAAGGTGGAAAACAAAGAATAGTTGGAGGGCAAACCCTAATGATAAGTAGTTCTTTTGAGGGCTTCAGTAAAGTTACCTGACACACAACCTTCAAAAAAGATAAAGGATGCTGGGGAGATTGATTTACCGTGGCACAAAGGATGTTGAAGTTGAACATTTTTTCAAGTTTGACTTAATGCAAGATTGATAAAATACATTTTTTTAATTCAAAATAAGGAATTTCTTAAAGGTTAGTGAAAAAAATAGGGCCATCTGTCTTAGTATTATCTTATCCCAGTGATGTTCAGGTCATTGGGACACTGATTTGGCCTGGAGAAGACTGCAGAAAAGGTCGTCTAAAGAGTTAAATATGCAGGACTGTGAATATTTAAAGTTCAGTGATAAGAACCCCATGGTGTGACTCAGGTTCAAATATATTCAAGGTTGGTTCTGTTTCATGTGAATTGACCTGAACCAACCTGGAACTGATCTGTAAATAATAGCAGAGCATGTAAATCAATGTAAACACATAAAGATAGAAAAGACCAAATGTAAAAACTGAATCACTTAAAAAAAAAAAAGAAGCATTTTGTTAAATTTTACCAAAATTAAAAGTGAAGAAATTCAGTTATCAGTAACAGTCATTTGGGCTTGCCATTGCAAACAGGCCATTATGCATTCAGATTCACTTTTGATCTACAGCCACGTAAGTCCTCCTCCTTTGTGTCCAAGTAAACGCGGCTATAGGAGGTTGTGTGTCAGCATGCTGAGGATGGTTGACCGGCCTCTGCCAAATGTACCCATATGGCTTTGGCTTTTGTTGTCCCATGTCAGGCAGGTGGTAGTGTTCTGCTGCAGCCTCATGGGCACAGTGTGGCCGATGTGTTGCCTGCCGCTCAAAAGATAGCAGAGAGGCAGAGAGAGAAAGAGAGAGAGGGGGAGAGGATGTGAGGTTTTGTATGATGAAGGTAAGTGCACGTCACTTCCTTTTAAGCTGACGTCCTCTTCCTGTAGATAATGGTTGCTATGCCAGAGAATGGTATGGCTGACTTAAGCTTTTTTTTTTTCTTATATTTCTTTCCCTGGATGACTCTGGTGTGAAGTGGATATGCACTTAATGGATGCTGTACATTTGACACGCCTTTCATTATCTGCCTCTCATGGACTCACTGAGCTGTTCTGCTTTGATATCAAGGCTTATCTGAGATATCTTTGAAGTTACAGTGGCGCTCTGAAGTTAGGCCTCAATACAAATACAGCAACAAGGATTCAACTAACCACAGTTTCAAAGGGGATCTGGTTAGTTGAATTTGATGTTTCAGTGCTTGGCTTGCACTAATGGTTCTGCACATATTATAGGTCAGATCTCGAGATCATTCTGTAAAGCTGCTAACTTGCCTGCTCAGCCACTCCAGCTGTGGATATTTCTTTAGGAGTGTAATTTTCTCTAAACAACACCGTTAGGATTGTCAGTTCTATACTATCCTGACTGAAACACAAGGATTGAAAAACATGATATGGGGACAAAGGGAGGAAAACGGGTTCTTCTCTGTCCTCAGGAGAGAGTCGAGGCAGAAAGGAGATGTGCTTGCACTCCAAGCGTTATCACTTAATGCATTGCTACACAAACATCTAACTTCCAGCTGAATTTACCATCGGGCTCAACTGTTTGTTTTGTTTTGTAGCACTGAAGTGCATGTTCAATTCTGGGATAACTATACACAGGGAAATAGTTCCTATATCTCCTCTGCCTTATCATGCATGGTAACAGGCATGAAACCCGTTCACTTGCATGCATGGACATGCCTCTGTGTTTGATCACTGCTTGTGTCTAACATGTTCTTAATGTTGGCCCAGTTTCATCATCAATTGCCTGTTTTTTTTCATTGCTTTCTGTGACTGGATCAGTGTATACATACCATCAGAGCTGGGTTTGATCCTTCAGGTTTCTGTCTCTGCCAGCTTGTTCTCACATGACTTGTTTGTGTGGGACCATCTGGTAATTAAATCCAAAGTGTTTGTAGTGTTTTATATGTAATCTTCTGTTAAATATTAGAGCTGTTTGACATTTCCAGGCTGGTAGCAATCGTCTATAACCTAGGTGTATATTTTGGTTTTAAAATCTGTTTCTCAAAGTTGTTTTTTGTACGTATATTACGTGTTTCCTTTGTGAAATTTTTTTCTAACTTTTCTAGTTTTGGTAATCTAAACAACTGAAATTGTGAAATCCTCTCCATATTTATGACAGACATAAAACTCTATCATACTCTGCTGTATTTTGGTCACTATTTCACAGCTTTTCTTTTCTCCTAGAGTTTGTGTAGAAAAGGTAAATCAGCCAGTTAATGAAAAGCTCCTTCATTTATCGCCGCGTACTTCAGAACTCCCACATAGGTTGGGCTCTAAGAATAGAGCAAAATGCTAACACATCAGAGCCAGTGAAGGACAAAAACCTGCTGACTGGTGCTCTATGAAAGGTATTTTATCTAATCCAGTCCCAGTGGAAAAGCAGAACATCAGAGGCTTTGTGTCCTGCCTGGACGTCTTTTGTCTCTCCTTTCTTTTTTCCCCTTTTTTCCGTTTGCTCTTGTTGTTGGATTTGTCCTCGTTTCAGATGGCTGGTAGCCATGCTGCTCTCCTCCCTGTGTAGCCTTGCCCTGTGGTGGATTGTGTATGGCTTCCCTTCTTCCATCCTGCATTTCTGTATAGACGGGTTAGGATTTCAATGAGTTCTACCGCCCGTCAGCCCCCCAAAAACCTGCCCTGCCCCCCTTCTGGAGCTCTAACTGAGAATACTGTAAGTGAGCCCTAGTCTTTTGTTTAACCCCCCCCAACCCAAATCAAAAATTTGTCCAGAATCATTAAATTGTAATGCGTGCGCCCTCTCTACAAGCACAGTAAACTTAAAGCTGATCAGTCCCAGTCCCATGAAACATGCAGGCTCCTGTCCTTTTCATGTCTGCGTTGTGTTAAGATTTTGTCTTTCTGTTGCCACCTTCCTCTCATCTTTAAACATCATGCTTTGCTAGTTATTATTTTGGCCATAGATCAGCTGTCAAAGGTCAAACCCTGCCATGCTGTTGCACACTTTCCATGACAGTGATGAAACTATAAAATTCAAATAAAGTCCCCCTGTAGAGTTACTGCCACCTTGTGGCTTCTTCTGGTAATGACTTGGTTTAACTAATCCCACCTGCTGCAACTCTCTGCACCAGACTAACACCTTCAGATTTCATTAACCCATCTCCATACAATCTCTGCCTCCACTCTGTCCTGTCAATTTACTCTAAGATCTCTCATGTCAAAAGTCATTAAATGGTTTTACTATCTTTTTAATTCTGTTTTTACAGACAGGAAGAGAACAAGATTCACACCAGATCATCATCACAGTCTCTAAGGTAAATATTTTAGTGTCTCACAATATTTCTGCTTCCACACTAGAGATGTGGTTCAGACTAATTCATGACAACTGTCTCCTCTGCAGCGCTGTCATCCTGCAGGCCAGTGTGCAGGGCTGTAAGGCCGGGGTCACCCCTCTCGCTCTGTCTGACCGCTCAGATAGCAGGAAGAGGAGCAGAACCTCACTGCCAGCCAGGAGAGGAAGGTTAGTGGGTGGATTTAACTCGTAAGAACTCAAACTCTCAATAATGGAGTCAGGACTGCATGTGGAGGGAGCAGCAGAGCATAAATAATGGCTACACCCTCAGATGGACTTTAAATGGCATTTGATTGACTCTGCTTATTGGCTAAAATAGCTTGAACTGTGTATGAGTACAGAAAAAGTTGTGATAAAACTTCTTTAAACATATGAACCACATATTTGAAAATAAAACAGATGTTTTATGGGAGGGAAATGGAAATAACATATATTACAAGAACATTCTATTTGTTTTTAATGGGTAAGTAATTCTAGTTGAAATCTCTCAGTACGTTTACATGCACAGCTTAATCGGACTAAGCTCATAATTCTGTTTTATCACCGAATCATCCTTCTCTCCTTGTCCGCGTATACATGCAGCTGAGAAAATCGAATTATTGATGTGAATGTGTCCCCCTCCCCAGAACTAGGGGGCGATATGGGTCTTTTCAGCGGAACTGTTTTGGTTGACCCTATACAACTGTCAACAACAAAAGCAGGTCTGTGCCAGACGTCAGGAGTGGCTACATCTGCTGCTGGGTATTTTCAAACAAGAAGATGGAGCATCGTACAGTGTTGCTTTTGTCATACACTATGTACGCGCTACTTTTTCTGCAGATGAAGTGCACGCTACTCCTCATTCCACTTCTTCTCCAGTGTTTTTGTTCCCGGGTTACAGGGGCATGAGGCACGTGCACATGTATTGTCCAATCATACTCCAATTATGCTGGTTACATAGTAGAGAAAAACGAATTCCAATTGCATTATCTGGATGTCTTAATCGGAGTCCTCAAAACTCCAATTATAGTCAGACTTAGGTGTTTACATGCACTTCAGTTGTCCGGTGTTAATCAGAGTAAGGCAATAATTCGGTTTTCTCGAGTGTCATGTAAACGTACTGACTGTCAGCAATCACATCACTTTGACATTGTTATATTCAATACAAAAAACAACAACTGTATACCTTAAATTTGTATGTGTGACTGTGCACAACACATGTTTTTTTAATGTGTGTGTTTGTGAAGATAAGAGTCAAGAGCAACAGAGAGGCTGTAGCCACTCATGGATCCTTGTGGAGTCAATTAACAGCTTCCCTTCTCTCTGCCAGCTCCCTGTGCCACACCAGACTGGTCAGGTCTCTAGGAAACTTGCATGTAGTGGCTGGCGACAGAGACCCAATGTGTTGTGAGCCATGTGGCAGCCATAAAGACACAGCCAGTACCACAGCCAACACAGGCCCTCTCATCAACTTAAACATGGTACAGGTCCACCTGCAGGCAAGCTCCCTCAGACACACTCGGAGCCAATATGCTGACCGGAGCTGCATGTGCTAACAAACAGAAACAACTTAGAAGTGTTCAGTTTGACAAGAAAGTCGCATCTCAAGAGTTTCCCTTTCATTTTCGGAGCATAGAAACTTATCAGATCTGTTACATCTCATTACAAAGGTGCCTGTGTAAATCCAGAGGCTCCTCTTTTAGAGCTTCAACACAGCATTTATCAGACAGTTAATGTATTCAGGCTGAGATGCATCACCATGGTGGAAATCTTAATATCATGTTTATCCACAAATTATTTTCAAAACTGGAGCAATTAATGGTCTTTCCTGCTTTCAACCATTACGATTTAGCAAGCAAGACATTATCACATGAATGGAGGGCCGTATTTGTGAGGTAGTTGAGAGAAAAACAGACCAATACTAGAAGATGAATTAAACCTTACAGGCCTCGTAAACTTTAATTTCTAAATAATTAAGTTTGTTTTAATAGAGAACAAAACTGAGATTTTCCTGCTGGATGATCTTCAGTGAAACAACAAATGTAGTGAGTACATTTTCAGAATGGAAGGTCCAAAACTGTTTTAAGAAACCATGATGGTGCAACCCAGCCGAATTATTGGCACATGCAGTACAATGTAAACATACCTCACATAAACATATATTTAGTCAGTTTAAGCCTCACTGTATCACGAAACTGCAGCCTCCTTGGTCTTCCTGCTACTTGTTCCAGTAACTTTTCCTTGCATGGTCTCTTAAGAACAGGAGGTTTCTGAGTATGACTGGCTATAGCTTCTCTGGACTCTGCTGCTGCTCTCTGTCTTTCTCATGTCTGCATCTGTTGCTGGTGCTAATCTGTAACGTTTTGTGTCTGCTTTCTGTTTCCCTCTCTTTTATATTCCTTTTGTGCAACAGACGCACTGTCTGCAGAGGACGTAAAGCTCGCAGCTCTTTGCAATCACTTCGATTTTCCAGGCTATGGTATCTATTTCCACTTCCTCACTTACTGGACTTAGATAGTAAATCACTGCTCATATATTGTTGTCCATAAACTTAATTTGCATGAATAGAAAAATAATCTTTGAGTAATTAAATTGTATAGTGTAAACAAAACCCCATAATTAATGAAGATGTTTTGTTTTTTGCAGTCACTCCATACCCAAGGCTAGAGCTCCGATTCTTCGGTGAGCAGATGGATCTGGAAACCAGGCGGAGTTTCACATGAAATCTAATCTGTACTCGGCCTCGCCATTCTGTTAATAGGTTTTTAATTAGGTAAAATATAAGGACAAACTTTAACAAAATGTGACATGTTAACCAATAGTTTGATTATAAGTTCTATTGCTCTTAAGGCACTTTGCTTTTGAAATTTTTAACGATGCATCATGAAACAGTTTTTATCATCGACTTGTTTTTACTTATCAAAGCACGCAGTAGCAACCATCGGACTGGCAAATAACTCTGGGCTGTCTGCAGCAGACGCTCTTGGTTATCAGATGGGAGATCCACATTCAACATTTAAAGATGAGTTAGACGAAACATAACCCAGCTGTTGGCCTTCCATTAAAAATACAATACTGTGCACATTTGTACCTCCATCCAGTACCTGACTTGTGTTTTTATTTTCTTGTGAAGCTTTTCAGCTCCTGTATTTCAAGACTGTAAATATGTCGACATTTGATAAACTCAGTTTGTATTTTTTAAATATTTTGTACTATGTTGAAATCATGTAATGAAATGTCAGCGGTCCTAAAGGGGCCTCACCTCAAAAATCATGTTCATAACCCACTGAAGATGTTTGATTATAACACAGAACCACAGTTTTTAATAAAACTATACTCTTGAAATGTATCTGGTTTTTATTCCTGCCACAGTTCACTTCTATGTGAAGGTGTCCGGTTCTCCCAAGTTCATTACAAAAACATCTTAAAATCTTCAGGTCCTAAGACATAAATTCAAGGTTTAATAGTTTTTTTCATATTACATGGAAATTTAAAAAAACACATCAAGATTAACTTGCAAGGCATTAATTTTTATTTTTTTGGGAAGTCATGCTGAACAGTGCACCTTTAGTGAAATAGAACAAAACCAAGTACAATAAAACCCCAAACCTTAAGAACAACAGGAAGATGTTAACCGTGTTTTTTTCTTCTTAAGTTAGTGTCAAGTGCAACCCCAGTTCCCTGCAGGGGGGAAACTGAATCGAAGGAAGTCATATTCCAGAGGAGAGTGCTGGGAAATCCTCAGGGTCATCGGGGTTAGGAGCCTCATCATACACCTGTTAGAGAAGTGACAGATATAACAAATTAACAGTTTTAAAAAAGCTCAGACCTATGACTTTTAAATTGACATTGTTGTTTGGTTGCCAAAGGCTGTTGACTGTTTTAATTAAGATTATCTTTTTTTTTATTGAATTTGTTCAAAGTAAAAAAAAAAAAAAGATTTGTACACATTCAGTTATTTAGAGTATATACTACATTATAAAGACGGGACACATATGCTTCACTCAGGCCTATAGTTAACATACCCTTTCCATTATAGGTTTGGGTCTCTCTGGACGACTAGTTGGACCACCTCGTCCTCTTCCCCGACCGCCGCGACTGGATCGCCCAAGACTCCCGAAGTTAATGTCCAGAAGGGACGTGATGTCATTCACAGATTTACGGAGGAAGTTTCCGTCGTCTTCTATGTCCTCAGGAATCCCTTTGATGATCTGAAATTTTCAAGCCAACATTCACTCTTCATGTCTGAAATGTCCTCTCATTCTGGTCTTTAAACATGGGCCAACCTTTGCATAGTTCACAGGTATGTGAGAGTTTTGGTCCTAATGGTTCAACAAAGGTACATGGATTTGGCTCACAAACAACCTCCATGAACCATCCTCGAATTATCTGTCAGGACTCAAAAGCTTCTCATTTCTCACCTCCACGTGTTTTGACTGGTGAATGACCTTGGCTTTAGAGGGAATTGTGTTCTCTGCTTTGCGGATATTAAACTCTGCCTTGGGACGACTGATCTCCTGCATGGCCTTCCACTCGTCCAGGGTCATCTCCATGGCAACCTGGACTACCATCTCTCCATCTTCTTCCATTACTCTGTCCAAAGTGGGCAGAAACTACATGCTTTCATCCACTTTAGTTTGATTATTCAATATTTTGTGACCAGAGAAAGTTAGATTCTGCATAGCATGTGTCAACAAATGGACTTGCTACATCAAAATGGACAAACCCTTTGGTCTCGATCAAAACGACAAGCAGTGGGTTAGATTTCTGTCAAGATAACTACTTTGTTACACATCTTGTCAGTGTAATTTGCACACATCACAGTTTATATTAAATTATATGACGTTAAGATCTTCTGTTGTGTTAAAACAAGACTTCAACTGTTGGCTTCAGAGACTGGACCAGGTGCTATCACTGTAAAGACGAATGCTGTTCTGGCACTCACTGGTTTTGATTCTCCTCCTCCTCCACAGGTATCTGGGGGTCCTCAGGTTTGACCGGAGCATCCGGTGTCACTTCCATCATTTCACTTCACAAAAGAGAACAGGCAGAAATATCTCTTTGTTTCGCCAAATTATGGATGTTTCCATTTCCGTGTTTTTAATATACTAATTCATTTACCTCCCAGCTTCATCAACACAGCCCCAATTCCAGGAACCTCTGCCCCCTCTCTTCTCTTCAGGGGAGATACCTCTGTGATGAAAGTGAGAAAAGCCGCAAATTAGAAAAGTCAACAAAGTCATGAGCCTTTAATGATGGGCTGCCACTTCACAAAAAAAGAAAATGCTTACGTTCCATTGTGTCGGTCATACTCTCTCTTTCCCCTCAGGTTGAAGTTTTCAGTGTTCCTTGAGTATCGTCCTCCACCTCTTGGTGCTCTCCTATCTCTGAAGTCCCCTCTACCCCTGAAGTCAGAACCTGCATTATAGGAAGGCCTAGAAGCAAAAGAATTTGAGCTTGGTTACTCCTTCACAATCTGTACTCTAAACTCAGCGGATGAAGCATTTTAATAATCTTAGAAAAATACAATTTCATTTCTATGGAATCTGTAAGTATGAGAACATACTGCGAGACAGAAAACTCCGGGGGGTAGTCCACTTGAGTTGCCCTAGAGTCCCTAAAGGCAGCCCTCTCGGTGTCCCTCTGGACCTCCTTTTTGCCATCTCCAATTTCCATCACTGGTCCGGGACGTGCCTGCTGCTGCTTGCGGACTAAGCATAAACAATACAGTTACTTGTGGATTAAAAGAAACTACCTTCTGTACCACAAAAAATAGACCAAGGCTGTGTCCGAAATGGACCAATGGACCCCTAACCCTTATATAGGCGACTATATGGGGGTTAGCGCCATTTTGAGGGGTGTGCAAGACCTGAGTGATCAATTCATATGCCCCATACAAACGACTAAAAATTTGCAAAATGTAGTGACCGTCTGGTGGTCACTCACCGGTGGTGGGCATCCATGTAGTGTCCGAAACCTCCGGTCAGCTATATAGTGAAACCCCAAATGGGGGTTAGGGGTCAGGGATTGAGTGATTCATTTTGGACACAGCCCAAAAATCTTGTCTTGATACTTCAATTTACATGCACTGCCTAAGGTTTTATTTCTGACAGTAAAAAATTTTCAAATGCCCTGCTTTCACTATCACACAGTCCTACCTGATAAAGACAGTAAGTCTGAGAATATAACAGGGTCAACAAAAGTCAAAAACCTTTATTTTTTTCCAACTTCATATGAAACATTTATTCAGATCAAATTCATTTTAACTGCATGGACAAGTGGCTGGCTTTCACATCGGAAAAAAACACTTGACAAATGTATTACATGTATGAATCTTATAAAAACAAATGGGTCTAAGAAATTAACAGAAACAACCAAGAGTCCTGTCGGTTTTTTATGGGGAGAGGCTTTGGGTATTATTTTTGTTCTATTTTTAGGGGTAAATATGGGGTTGTGACTGTGCTTTGAGAGAGAGGGTGAATATCAATCTGCTCCAATGACCCCACAGGAAACAATGAAGTACACCCAACCAGACAGCCTGCATGTGCACCTCATCTTTGCTGGCCTTGCACAATCAGAGGCTGACAAAGCTTGAGCAAATTGGCCATTCTTGGCTGAACTACACAGTCGATAAATACAAGAAACTGCAGGAATCACTTTAGCTGTGAGATGACAGAGCAGATCGGCAGAAAACTTACCTGGGACTGGTTCCTGACCATCATTGGTCATGGGTACTCGCCTGTCTCTCTGGGATTCCTTCTGACCGGGCTTCTTCTGCTTGCTTTTCTTCTCATCCCCTTCTTTCTTCTTTTTCTTCTTCTCTTTCTCCTTCTCCGTTTCTGCTTTGTTGATCAGGTCGAACGGGTCAGCATCGTCGTCCAGAAGATCGCCGAACCTGTTCGCCACAACGCAGCCATACGCGTCCGGCAGCATTGTAGCCTGAGTGTGATTAGGGGGACAATCAAAGGTTGATTTCTTCCTCAAGAGGAGTACATAACTTGCAAGACCAAAAAAAAGTGCGAGTCATCAACAGAAAAGAGCCGCGGACAACCAAATGCTGTGCTCGTGAATGTCTACCAAATGCACTCAGGAGTTTGGGGACAATTTTAAATGTTTGCACGTGTGGAGACGAGAAACACCACGCCCTGACGCGCATCAATTGGCCATTCACTCATCTACAGTCGGTGTAATGACTGGCTCAGATCTGCTAATGTTGCTGGATTATTTTCTGCTTACTGGGAGTCTGCTGCTCAGACTGGGACAGAGGCGGACTCTTATTCAGTTAGACCAAAAATGACGCATCAATTATTTGAGAATACATTTTTTTTCTCTTTGGGGAGAAACACTTTACTAACGTCTTGAACAACGTCTCTAGTTACCGGTGTTTCGGTTAAAGCTGTTACCATGTTAATTTCGGACGAACGTTACAGTGGTTGTCCTAGTTACAACAGTTGTTAAAGCACGAAATGAGCCGATTCATCCTGTTTTCCCGACTATAATATCAAAATATGCACACAGGATTTGTCTGAAATTAAAAACTTAAGGCAACGACTGAATAACGACAGCAGCGGCTGATAGCACGGACCCTTTTTTCACCGAAACACCGGTTAACAGGGTCACCCTTTAAACTGAAACACCTGTTATATCAGTCGAGTGACCAGTTAGCATTGCCCCATAAAGTTTGTTTCTGTACTGGGTGTTAACCATAGACTGTTTATGGAACCAAATATAGCATATGGATACTTTGAAGTAACTGTTAACTAGCTACCTCTTCGCTTGAGTTACGAATTTAACGTTTGTGCTGTCTCAAGAAGAAACAGCTCTTTCACATAAGCTAAAATTGGTATGCATGTCAGCAATGTAGCCGTTTAAAGCTAAAGATTCATTAGCCCAATTTTCCAACAAAATTAAGTGACAACGCCCGTTGAAACGATAGGACCATAATTTACCTTGGGTTAATGATACCTGACAGTGTCTGCCGCAGGTGTGGCCTCCCTTTACTCTTGCTGCTACTTGGATGAAGTGACTTAAAGCCCACCTGACCACAACGGCTGTGACGCAATGATAACGTGCTCGTCTCCGCCGACAGTCAAAGTTCATGTCAACAAAAGTGAAATATAAAAAAGAAAATTAGTTATTTCTTAAATATTCTTTTAACTAACCCAAACATTACTCCTCAGTCGATGTATCTGATTTTTAGACAGTCTTTTACACTCTGAACTGTTTTCTCACTATGGTTTCATTGTGCATCAAAATCTATTCACATGTTAGCAAAAAGTATCAAAACTTCCATAACATTTCTTTAAAAACTACCCTTTTCTGTGTGCCTCAGCTCTATTGGCTCATGCTTCCTTTATGAAAAGTTGTTTAGTTTTTGGGCATGCTGGTCAAACATAGGGGAGAGTGGGGTAAGTTGAGCCAAAGGGTAAGTTGAGCCACCCCCTGTTGCTTGGAAATGGTAAAAGAAATTGATCATGTGACCAAATGTTTAGGAGATGGTCATCAATTCATGGAGTCTGTGAATTCAGTTTGTCATAAGTTTTATTAGAATTGTGTTCAGACCAAAAAAGATCATTTTAAATTTGTTTGATACATCTATTGTGGTATCTATGAGCTACAACATAGAATCACTTAAAGACATTCTCATGTCAAAGTGTCTTTTTACAAAACAGCTTTTTAGCAGTTATATTGTACCAGTTGAAAAGCATATAATAGATAAAAATACACATGAATGTGAAGAAGTGACTGTTATTAAGGTAGAGAAAAAAGGTGAGGGAGGGCTGAGGTGGAGGTTGGTGGGGTAGTAGGGATACGCCTCAACTTACCCCGCTCCTATGGTCAACTTACCCCATACACGAGGTAAGTTGACCACAGGAGACCACTTATTTTTGGCATGCTATATTATCAAGACAGTTATGTTTACACTCATTCTCTTCTCATTCAGGGATGCACAACATCTTAAAATCTATGCAGATACACTAGTTAGAGACAAAACTATGATTGCCTTGATGTATTGATCTGAAATATGAAAAATGCCTCATCTTACCCCACTCTCCCCTACAAGTGCTTTTACACTATGACAGTTTCAAATTACATTAAGATGAAAATTGCAAATGAATCACATCAATTACAAAATTAAAGAATTTAATAGTGTAAAACTGAGTGGTTTGCTCTGTGAATACTCCAATTATATGCATCCAAACTTGATTGTGATCAATTGACCTGACAATTTTTTGGCCTATTTACTTTAGCAGTCATCACAAACACTCCATGTCATATTGTTGTAGAAATTTATAGCATATATAGCGGCAGATTTGTATGACAGAGTTTTGCATGTGATGCTCCACTGCTGAATGTTTGGAAGGTATGAAAAGTTTGACTTTTTACTGTGAATCAAATCATCTTATTCGATTATTTTATGCATAAACAAGTGACATTAATTCCTATAAAATCTTGGCTTCGCTATTGTAAATATGAGCTAAGCACTACTTCAGTATTTTATTGACCCCTTGTTGTGCCATATCATTTGATTTAGGTCAGCCATAGATTTGATCAAACACAGGACTTTTACAAAGCAATTCCATTTAATGCTTCTTCTATGACCTTTTTGTTACACTGCTGGTACTGCATTGTGAAAATCAACCTAAACTTAAAATTATAAAATTATACATGAGCAGCATTTCTTTCTGATCACATTTTAAACTGAGCTGAACTGGCCTTCTTCCATGTATCCTATAACTAATGATCTCAGTTATATTTACAAATAACCTGTTGAATGTGCTTTATCACGAAAATGATCAAATGAAATAAAGTTGTGTCATGCTGCCTTGCAGAATGGACAGGTTCTCTCTAAAAAAACAAGATGAAATTTAGCTACATCTAGTGGTCAGAGCAAATATAACAAGTCAGTGGTGTCAACCTGAGTTGGAGGTTTATTAAGACCTACTGAAATTGTGATAAAGTTATCTAAGGGCACACTGCAAATACAGTGCAGTGATCATTGTGGTACTGGTGGAAACTGACATAAATACACTGACTCAGGGGCAGAGTAAGTGGTTGACCACAGTCCCCTTAAAATCTGATAGACTGCTCCATTATCCGAAACCATAATTTGCTATCTGTCTCTGTCCGACTCACCTCGGACTTTGTACATATTTTTGTTGAGTCCTTAAAGATTCCTATGAAAGACAATTTTTTTTTGCCATTGTGCTGTTACTATTTGAAGTTATGGATATGCAAAGAAAAAGACATTTTAATGATTATTAAATGTAAGCAGTTAAATTGCCCATTGTCAGAAAACAGGGTAAACAAATGAAGATCATATATGTGAGCTCTGGCCACCCCAGTCAAGAAGGTCTGGCTCTGCCACTGCGCTGAATTCTCAAAAAGTTATGATTGGAACAGCTGAGCTGGCTGATCGGTCTGACAAGGCCTGACTAGTTGATGGATATAGGGGTATATAAACAGATCCCGATATTAAATTCCATACCTTTAAAGACCTTTTAAAGTCTGAATTTACTTAATTTGAAAATCTAAATGCTATTTTGACCTGTTAATTATGTCAACAACACAGTTTCTTTTAGTGTATTATCATACAGTGTACTAGTTTCATACTGTAGATTGTTAAATGATGCAAAACAAGGTGTTTGGTGGCTAGTGCTATGGCTGGGACCCTATATGTACTGTTGATGAAGTTAGGTGCTGTTCTGAGCATTATTTGTGGCTATTGAGTGGCATTTTGGTTGCGGTTTGTGTGTGGCTCCTGAGAGCACTGTGTATTGCTATCGTGGGGTTGTTACTAAAGGTGGTATAACTAGAGAAGCAAGCAGTTGGTAACATTCACCTCTCAAAATTAATTTTACACCGGAATATGCCATTAAAGGTGTACTGTCCATCCCAGTGAAACATAGGCTCACATTGTTGGTTTAGTCTTTTTCAGGTATAAATGAATGTAACAGACAAATGCACTGGCAGCAGCTGGATGGCCTCACACATACAAACAGAAGGGCCTCTTGAACCACGGCAAATAACTACAACTCCAAGCTGAAATATTCAAAAGACAACTCTTGGATTTTTTTCCCTTCTTTGATTTATTTTTATTTTTTTAATTATTATTCATAACATATTATCTGAGATTTGACCTCTGCATAAAAACCAAAATTATTTGCGTTTAATATCTGAATCTATGCCAGCAGATTTCAGTGACATCCATTTGATAATGGTATGCTATATAAAACCTTTTGGAAAATTAAAACAAAACCCGTTGTGGTTTGTCAAGCTGGGAATCATTAATATATTTTTATCAAATTTGAAATAAAAATGTCTATCCTTTCGTTTCTGTTTCTTTTTCTCTCTTACAGTGTACCCTTTGTTTCAAAGTTTCCGCCCTTGGCCATTACGTAAGTTTGGCGCCTCTATGCCCCCATTTCCTTCCCTTTAAATTGACCGAGATGTAATAACATAAACAGACTTCCCAGCGCGGGAAAGAGCCATCTGCTCGTCTGCGGGCTGAAATTGCCCGCCCTTTACTTCTATTCGCTTTGGCGCCGCTGTGCAGACGCCCCCCTCTCCCTCATTGGCTGACCTCACTGACAATGCGCGAGAGCGCGTCAAGCGTTTAAATCTCATTGGACTAAAACATGAGCACCAACCGTAACACATCGGGCTTGTACTGATCTCGCTATTGGCTCTTGGGCTCATTCTGGCTGCAGCTATTGGTTACTTTTGACATCTGGGACGTGACCCCCTTACTTGATTGGTCAGTTGAGTGCTCGGGCGCGATTTTGCAACGCGGGACAACGCTTCTGGGGGCGCACACATCCCAGTTCCGTGGACCCTATACAGCAGGGAGGAAACATACCATCTTCATATCTCACTGTATCTTTTGATACTTTATTAGGAAGGACGGATTGGATTTTTTTAACCCCTCTTTGGAAATGAAGGACATATTCACACCCGATTAAGAAGACGCACTACTTGTAACTTTAATTTTTGTGGTTTAAAGTTATTTTTCACCGTTTCAGCATTCATTAGAGTTTGTTCTGGAGGCTTGGGGTTCATACAATGGCCGAAAACAAACATCCGCGCGTCATTTTCTGCAACGACTCACCGAAAAGGGTTTTGGTGTCCGTGATCAAGACCACGCCGATCAAACCCAGGAAAGCAGAGGCCCTGACACCGACGAGCCCCGGCTTCAGCGACTTCATGGTCTACCCGTGGAAGTGGGGGGAGAACGCCCACAATGTGAGCCTGAGCCCGGGCTCAGTGAGTGGGGCTTCATCACCTACCGGGACCCAGACAGCCAGAGAAGCGGACACCGCACCCTCACCGGACCAGATCAGGGTATATGTCAAAGTTGACTATGTCTGTACTGTGACTAAAAAGCAAAGTCTGAATACGTTTAAATGGCTGTAATCAGGTATATATTCATGTTTAGTCCAGTTTGAGCCAGTCAAAGTGATAAAAACAACCTTTATAAGTTGTAACAATAGTATTATCATGATTATTTGTCTGTTTCCAGCCGCATTCACTAAAATAAGTGCCCGTTAATTCTGTTGCTGTCATTCAAAACGTTGCAAACTTAATCGTTATAAATGTTTCATTCATTGCTTTGAACAAACGCTCATTTTTTGGACGTGGAGCTGCTTTAAAAAAGTGTAATTTTCGGTTAGTCGGCTGCAATATGGCCGAGATGAAGAGTCATTTAAAAAAACGCCCGCGCAATAGGGTGTGACATGGTGGATTTTAAACCCCACTTACTTCCTGGTTCGGGAGCAGCTGCTCATACATGACGTCTAGTCGCGCGCCAAAAGTGGAACCGGATGTGAATTATGATCGACCAACGTGCCTCATGTAACAATGTGACATGTGAGATCAGCCTGGGAAAGTGTTATTAGTACAAATTTGCATTGTACAACATGCAAACTAGATAACCGGTTCATTCATCTATTTTGTCCTGACTAGTTTCACATCATAAATATTTGTTATAAAGGCAGCACTAACTTAATCCCTGTACCTGATTTACGTTTTATACATTTGTTGCATCAGACAAAACATATTTAGGGGAGAGGGGGGTAAGTTGAGCCACCCCCTGTTTCTTGGAAATGGTAAAAGAAATTGATCATGTGACCAAATATTTAGGAGATGGGCATCAATTCATAAAGTCTGTGAAGGTTAGAAGCTCATGGGTGAAGAGATTAGACATTTATTTAAAAAAGAAAAAGTTTTTCTCTCCTGAAAGTGAATTTAGTCTGTCATAAGTTTTATTAGAATTGTGTTCAGACCAAAAAAGATCATTTTAAATTGATTTATACATCAATAGTGGTATCTATGAGCTACAACATGAGGTCAAAAACCTAGCATTAAAGTCCACCATTTTAGCTTAGAGGACTAATAAAGTCATCATAGTAGTTCTGGGGTAAGTTGAGTCAGTGGCTCAACTGAGAAAGTAAAGGAGTCTGATGAGAGGATCAGAGTTTCAGTTCCGGTTGTTGAAATTTTTTACTTTTTCTTTTCAAAAATACAGCTGTGAATGTTCTGAATCACCTAAAGACATTCTCATGTTAAAATGACTTTTTACAAAACAGCTTTTTAGCAGTTATATGCAATAATAATAAAAATAATTATTGTACCAGTTGAATAGTGTATAATAGATAAAAATACACATGAATGTGAAGAAGTGACTGTTATTTAGGGAGAGAGAGAAGGTGAGGGAGGGCTTGGGTGGAGGTTGGTGGGGTAGTAGGGATACGGCTCAACTTACCCCGCTCCTATGGTCAACTTACCCCATACATGGGGTAAGTTGACCATAGGAGACCTTTTCTTTTGGCATGCTATATTATCAAGACAGTTATGTTTACACTCATTCTGTTGGTTTGCAGGGATGCACAACATTTTGAAATATATGCAGATACACTAGTTAGAGACAAAACTATGATTACCTTTTATGCAGAGATCCAAAATATGAAAAATGGCTCATCTTACCCCACTCTCCCCTATGTACTTTATCAGCTTATGGTAAATGTGCTGCATTTGTATTAAAGGTGTTACTGAAGTCAAATCTAAAACCTCCCTGTATTCTTGCTACCAGGATGGGATACGAAGAGGACGCCCACGGGCTGATACTGTCCGGGAGCTCATCAGTGAGGGGGAAACTTCATCCAGCCGTATTCGCTGTAACATCTGCAACAGGGTGTTTCCCAGAGAGAAGTCACTGCAGGCTCACAAGAGGACACACACTGGTGAGAAAGAGATGGGGTGCAGTGAATGTGCATACTGTGATGTTTATGATGGTATATCCTGCACTTTTTATAGAGCATGTAAACAAACACTAGATTTAAGTTTTGGCTGTCTTTGTATATGATAAAGGCAGCAGCTAAATTGTGAACCTTTGATTGTTTCCTAAGCAATATCCACATGTCTACTACAGGTGAGAGGCCTTATCTGTGTGACTATCCAAACTGTGGGAAGGCATTTGTCCAGAGTGGTCAGCTGAAGACTCACCAGAGGCTGCACACGGGAGAGAAACCTTTCGTCTGCTCTGAGAAAGGTAGAGTTGAAGAAGTATTTTTGTTGATGGCCTAAACCATTCATCACAGTACTATTGAAATGAGTGATCAGCCAAACACTACAGAGTGGGGTCTTTCACATTGAGGTACTTTCCATTTAATGAGATCAAGTCACCAGTATAGGTGAACATTTCTAACTGCTGGAGCACTTGGGGAACTACCTAATAAACACAGACTGTTCTGAGATTGTCAACTGTTCAAAATGAAACTGCCACTTTTATTTGGGGTTGATGACATACATGTCACATTTCCATCTCAATTGACTAGAATTTCCAGATTACAAATACTAAACGTGTTATTGTCCTTTCATTACTGGACTAAACCAAAAAAAGGTTCTTGATTAAAGTCATGCCAAAAGTGAAAAATGTCCCCTTTCTTGCTACATTCATTCCAACTTGTTGCTCTCTCTGCAGGATGTGGCAACCGGTTCACACATGCTAACCGTCACTGCCCCAGCCATCCTTTCTCCCGTTTGAAGAGAGAGGAACCAAAGGAAGGCCATGGGAAAGCTCAGTCGGTGGATAACAAGGCTGTAGCAGAGTGGCTTGCAAAGTAAGAGAACCCACAATATGCAGAGATGAATCCTTTTTGATGCAGATTTTACAGAAACAAAATGCATTTTTCATGTTGTGTTTGTATCATATGTAATTTGATTCCTTTTTTGTCCCTGCAGGTACTGGCAGACCCGGGAGCAGCGTGCCCCGACAACTACAAAGGTGAAGGCACAGGGGAAAGTGAGAGCAGAGGACCAGGAGCAGCAGGATCCCATGGAGTTCCTCCACTCTGATGAAGAGAACGGGGAAGAAGACGAGCCGATGGAAGAGGAGAAGGGAAGCCAGGGTGGAGGAGGAGGAGCCGCCAAGCGCCGCTTACAGGAGCAACGAGAGCGTCTTCACGGCGCTCTGGCACTCATTGAGCTGGCCAACAACCTGTCTGCCTGAACACCCACCCTCCCATTCCCTGATCCTGGACTCCCCCTTCCCTGCTCCTTACTTTACCTCCATTCCCAACCTGCCTTCCTGCTTTGTGCAGTAGTGACAAAACACCATAAATGCCGATCAATGACTAGTTTATTCTGTCGAGTTGTAAAACCAGACTTTGAGAAAGAGCTAAATTGGCCTGAGATCATAGTTAATGCACATCACCTACTACTCTCCTTCACAGCAGCAGGAAGGCATAAGCTAAAGCACCTTATTCAGCTTCCATTTTATCCTTTTAGGCTGCTATAATTGTAGATTTGACAACATGAAGAATGTCTCTCTTTCTTCTGTCTTCTAAAGGCAAAGAAAGAGTATCTGTTATGTTTAATTTGTTTTGTTTGCACTTTGATGGTAACGAGTTTTTTAAGTATATTATGAGTGTGTATGACTGATGTATATATGGATTAAGCTCAGATGGACAGAATGATACAGGGTGTGGTCCTACATAGGAATTATTATGTTGCATTCCAACTGTCAGATAGCCTGCAGGTTTCATCTTCTGGGGAGTGGAAACACAATCTCTACTGTCACCGATGACAGAAATGGTGGTAGAGAAGTTTCATAAAGGCTCAGTAGTTAGTTATAGTTCTATTCTCACCACATGAAACGCTATAGAGAAAGTGGTGAGTGGGTGGAAGGGTGAAACAAATAAGATGAACCAGATCTGTTTGGCATGTTCATTCTTCATGTTGGTAAGAGGTGATCATTGCAAGCCTAATCCAAACCCCAACAGTTTCAGCAGTTGACTCATAGTTGTGTCTGCATGTACTTACCAGAGCCACATGAGAAAAGTTCATCATGATTTGGTTGCTAAGGTCCACATTACCTTTAAAAATGTACTGTTTTCCCTTAACCGTCATTCTCTACATGGATAAACTAAACCTACAGTCCTTAAGTTGTTCAAATCCAGAGCTGATGTATTTTACAATGGACATCAGTCACTTTTTATGTTAAAATGTGTCAGTCAAAATTTTTGTTCCTCTTTTACATTTGTTACATTGTACAGGCTCAGTAGCCCTATTACAGCTTGATGTTTGATGGAAAGTATTTTGACACCATCCACATCTGATAGGTTGAAATTTAGAATCACAAATTCATTTAAGAGTACTTAACATTAAAATGAACATCATCTTGGTTTTAATTGAGCACTTAAGTTTGGGTTAAGCTTGCAATACACTGGAGATTAAATTTGTCGTACAGTCCAGGCAAATGGCACCTGTTCCATAAACTGATGTGTGTAGTGCTGGGTGTTTTTCTTTGATTTTAAAGCAACACTACATCTTTCAACACTGTATGAAGTCCCTCATAACTACCCCAACTCGGGTTCGGGGTAAAATGCTCCAACGACCTATCACACTGTCACTCAAGCTATGTTTAATCTTTGATTTACAAATTACCCTTATGGAGATAAGGTAAAACTGGAAGTCTGGTTTAATGTTGATAATCAAAACACCAAATGATTTATTGTACCCAATCATAGTATATTTGAAGCATTTCTAACCCTTAGTTTACGTTTTGGTTTGACAAGAGTATGGCATTTAATATATATTTGAACATTATGTTTTTTAGATTGTGCACAATTTGTGAAGAGCTTTGAAGTTGAATTTCTAGTTTCAGTTTTTTCCTCTGCTAACATCCCCAACAGTCTTGTGTTTGTGACAAGTATAGAGCTTGCTTGGTAGGCAGTTTATCCACATTTCAAGGTAAAACTTCTCTGACAATGTCCACACTGTTTGATAATTGCTGGTCTTCAATAAACATTCACTGAACTTACAGTCAATATGGGCTTTTATTCACTCTTTTTTTCTTTTTGCAAACTTGTGATTTATTTTGGAAATATTGAATAAAACTATTTTAAATTAACTTAAGAAAAGCTGAGTATATCAAGCTCCAATATGAAGCAGAATGATGCCACCTAGTGGCAGATACCATGACATTGTCCTTTAGTTTGTGATGAACCTCGCTTGTGAGTCTTCTGATATGTGAATCTTCGTCTCCTGTGCTCCTTCAGCGTTAACCCCAGTTGATTTGATATTAAAAGTGTGGTACGAGTACATTAGTCCACCAGACATACTGCAAAGCAGAATAAGAACAATTAAGGAATCATAAGGACATGGGAAATAATTATCAAAATACATATAACTTTAAAACAATTACATAACTGCGATAAATCCCAACTTTTCAGGTGTTCTGAATATAAAAAGTCGTGTTACCACTACGTTGCTTAAAGAATCAAATTAAGATTTATCTAAGAAAATGGAGAAAGGGAAATGTACTCTTACCAAATGCTGAGACCTATGAAGTTGGTCCAAGAAAACAGATAGTCTCCTCCAACCAAGATGCCAATATAGGCCACTGCAACATTCTTGAGAAAATTTAAGTCGTTTTGTAAGTTAGTGGCAGCTGTAGAAACTGGATTAGTAATATCATGAAAACATTTTGTTAGTGCACACTTTTTTAGTGTTCTCTTGGCACTACATGTAAAAAAAACTTGCATGGACTTTAACTAGTGCACAATGCAGATCTAGCTACAGATAATGACATTTTCAAAGAATTCTGAATAATGCAAAGTCATCCACAATACACAAAGATATCACTTAATCATGTTTTTATCATTTGAGTTGACAAATAGTTTTCTTATCAGTGTAGTCTTACTTTTATGGCTCCCACAACTGCGGTAGTAAGTGCTGAGTTGTAATAGCTGCACAGGACTATGGAATACATCAGCACAAACCTGAAGAAACAAAACTGAGTCTGTAAAATGAAGTCGGTCTGGTATTCATAAAAAGACTGCACAAATGAAAAGTACATACCCCATGAGGCAGGACACTAGGAAGCAGAAAATAAATGTAGCTTCAACCCAGTCCTCAAATGTGACTGCCTGTAGACCAAAATACATGAGGTAGTAAAAGTAGGGAAGTTTTGGGCACGCAAGCACACAGAGTGTAACAAAGTTAATACATGTACCTCATGTAAATCTCCAGTTAACACACTTGCCATCAGGGTGGGGATGATAATAATGAGCGCATTGTAAAATAGGACACCATGTTTTCCGAGGTCCTTCACAAAAACAGAAAAATATTAGACATGAAGCATCCACCTTTCTTACATGTCAATATTTGAGCTTGCGAATAATTCTTACATCAAAATTTAATAGCCAAATAAAGCAGCATATATTGGTATTTAAACTCTTATCAAGATAGAGTATATGGTTGAGAATGTGCTGCTGCTGCTGCTTTTTATAATTGTGTATGTTTGGTTTGTCTGGGCGTGACTGGGATCCTGTCTTTTAAAGGTCGGGCTAACAAAACAAAAAGTCGTAATGATGTCGTAATGGTGAAAACAAACATTGAATATAAATTCATTGATTGTTTTTCTAACTTTTAAACAGTTTAAACTTCTCTGTTTGGCAAAGCGGCTAGTTAGCTATGATCTCTTTCATTTGGTTGACACTGGACTGTGCTAAAAACACAAAAGGCACTACTGCCAGTAAAATACAACACAGTCAAGTCTACAGCTTGCTTAGGAAAACTCACCTCAGTGCCAACTTTCTTCTTAGTGTACACACTGGTTGCAGCAGTGAAGGCATCATTAAGCAGGATTAAAGTGTATGCTTGCACATCAAATGCCAGGTCAGAGCTGAGTGACATGCAAAACAGAGGGGAAGTGCTGTTTTTTTTTGTCAGTATATGAATCAGATCTTAAGCAACCTCAAAGCTACTCCCATTACTGTAAGCTACTGAAAAGTCCATACCTTGCAGCAACGATGGCACCAAAGACTATAGCCCCAACACTATACAGGAGGTGTTTTGGAAATGTTTTCCTGAAAGAGGGGTACAAAAACATATGGTAAGATAGCTACATGTCTTATCTAGCCTCCATTACAGCTAATGCAATGTGGTTATTAACCAGTTCTGTTGTAGATCTGTTGAGCGCAATCAGAATATCAAAAACAGAGGTATTTCCTACCTTAGTATATATATTTCCAAGACCATTGTCATCAATATGGTAAATTTCCGCAATACTGTAAACATAGGTAAACTGTAAAAGACAACATATTTGAGCACTGTGTAACTACAGGGAGAAAAATCCTGTAGCTATGTTAAGAGACTGCTAAAATGAAAAACCTGAGTTTTTTGGTGCTGGCCAGTCCTGTTATATGGTTCCCAACATACAGCAGAGGCAGGGGGAAAATCTGGAATGAAAACAAGGATGGGCAATAGTTAGAGGAATAAAGTCTGGTGTAAAAGTTCTTGAAGTTGTTGAGAAATTAAAAGAAATACTCACTTTTAAGATAATACCTCTGTCGAAATCTTGAAAGTGGACCGTTTTACTCACTTTGGCAGCGTACAGCACAATAAGAGTGGTAGCCATCTGAAATGAACCCAGAATTAGAGAGTAGGAGTCACAGCAGAGACAGATCCGAGAACAGGTGGACAGGTGAGCCGTCCAAACTTACCTGTCCAATTCCTAGACACATGTAGGAGGGAAACCTGCAAGAGTAAGAAGGAACCCTTTAATGTGAGTCCATGTTTTCTAAGTTAGAGTTACATAAGCCTGATCCATTGTCATCGTATAGTTGCATATAGTCGCCTACCTGAAAGTGGTCAGCACGGTTTTATTCACCACCGTGATAAGAAACGAGCTGCCGGCGTAAAACAACGCAGAGAGGAACTTCAGCTGTGCGGGGTGTTCAGCAGCTTCTTGGAAGACTGGGAGAGACATTTTCGGATGGCAAATCCACTTCTCCGGTGGAGTTAGTCTCGGTAGGGCAGCAGGGTCCACCCAAGAGAAGTAGGCAGTGTGAGCCAAGTCCGCGAGCGTCAGTAACAGTGGGCATTTCGTAACCAGGAAGTCACGTGACATCAACAGTTGTTTGACATTTTCTTCAGTTGTAATTTTTTTTCACATAAACTTTCTAAAGCAGAAATTTCCCCTTAAAAAAATAAATAAGTAAATAAATTTGAAAATAAATAATTAATTAATTAATAAACGTGGAACTCATCGACTGCAGTTCGTTTTAAACACGATTTGAAAGATTAAAGTTTTGACAGCTGTTTGAAAATCAGACTTCATTATGTAGGAATATCCCGATTTTAAAAAAGTATATCCTGAGCTCGGTTATACCATTAGGTCTACTACTTAATGGTATGTTAAGAAACAGTTATATGTTACTATAACATGTATGTACATGTCCATATACATGTGATATATACATATAGAGAGTAATATACAGTACAGACCAAAAATTTTGGACACACCTTTTCATTCAATATCTTTTCTTTATTTTTTTATATGACTATTTACATTGTAGATTATCACCAAAGGCATCAAAACTATGAATGAACACATGAGGAATTTTGTACTTATAAAAAAAGTGTGAAATAACTGAAAACATGTTTCATATTCTAGTTTCTTTAAAGTAGCCACCCTTTGCTCTTGATGACAGAAGTACTTAGTGACAAAGTAACCCTGATAAGGCACACCTGTGAGGTAAAAACCATTTCAGGTGACTACCTCATGAAGCTCATTGAGAGAACAGCAAAAGTTTGCAGCGCGATCAAAAAAGCAAAGGTGGCTACCATCCCTGGATGTTACTGGCCTGATTTGCATTGTTTACACAAGACACGAGTCCTGGTGGAAACACAGACTTCAATAGGCTACAGGCATTTATTTCCCTCAAGAGAAGTCAGTGGAACGGAAATATCTACTGGTCAAGAAGTACCTATTATGTCAAAAACACATTACTGACCTGGGATCTTTCAGTTAGTGATATGACTGTATTATTCAGCCATACAAATTCCCATGTATATGTAAAATGTTGAGTCTATCGCAGCTAAACTCCTAAATAATGTTATCCAAAAAAGAAATTGTAACACTTGAATAGACAGCGGAGTAAGCAAACTGTCTAGCTGCTATACTGCACCCAAACATCTGCTGTTTTGGAAACCAAGAACTGTATTCAGACAGAGGTTGCTTAAGTCAGCAGAGATTTCAACATGCTGTCACCAATAGATCTGTGTGGGAAAGGGGCAGAAGTATGTTGCACATGTTGAGGCGAAAATACTGACAGGAAAATCTTAAAGTATTGCACTGTACCCAGAGTGTCAGGGAAAAAAGAAAGTGATATTCTGCATGGTTCATGTGTCGTTTCTTTACTATTTGGCACTTTGCCAAAATGTGCAGATTATTATCAGTTTTTTGTGTGTCATTTTAAGGGTCAAGTGCTGTCAAAAGTAATCTGACAGGGAAGAGAAGATTGGATTGTCTGATATTTTCACATTTTCTTTCCCTTAATGAAACTCTGTGAGGAAGAAGCGCTGTGTGCAAAACATGACTTTGCAGGGGCAGGCTAACTGTTCAAAGTACAACAGTATAAGACAAATATTTGCAACACATCATGATACTGACAGACCTGAAAAACACTCTGGCTGACAGGAGTACTCTCTGGAGAAGTTTGAAATGTATTGGTTTTGAAAAATAATATGTATTTTTCTGGAATATTAACACAAATTTTCACAGTACTGTCCCTTTATGCCAATGGTTCTCAACTGGTGGGTCCTGATCCTAAAATGGGTTGCAGACACATTCTGGATGAGTCACAAAGAGCTGGTCAAAAAAGTAAATATTTGCTTGGTTTGAATTCTATAAAAGTGGGTTGCGACTTAAGGACCATGGAAAAATGTGGGTCCCATAGTGAGACCAGTTGAAAACCACTGCTTTATGCCATCAGTTTCTCCACCTGAGGGTGCTCTTGCATCAGACTAATGAAGTCCCAACAGTGTAAAAAAAAACAATCTTCACCAGAAGACATGCAGGTTTCTACCTGTTGTGTGTAAGTCTAATCTCTCTATTATGGATCTTTTTTTTTCTTTCCTTTGTGGTTTTTGTTCTTGTCCTCTATATACCACAGATGCATACAGTCAACTCTTTGTTCTTCATTCCATCTAAAGATAAGCCCCAACCATATTATTTTGACTGCGTAAGTGCATATAAATCACGTTGGCAGAGAGTGACGATGAAAGATTGAGCTGCCAGCAGGATTTAACTGCACACAGCTGTAACATGTTTATTCATGTTGTGGGAACCTTTGCTTTGACCCTGTATTGTTTGCCTCCTCAACATCTTTTTCGTATTCTACCGCTGATGTAATGGAGCCTGATTTAATTCAGCCTGCAGTGTCTGATAAAGAAATTTTAACTCTTTAGTGGGGTTTAATGGTAATGATTCTAGTAAAAGGGCTAAGATGTTCAAATTTGCCACATTAAATGCTGTTTGATTTGACCTACTGTAGAAACCTGCTCTGAAATGAGCTGACACATACAAGACTTACTGCTTACCAAGAGCTTCATTGAGTACTACAGTTTGCTGCAGGTGGTTTCTGCTGTTTTGAAGCAATGCGTAGTTATAAGTCAATATAGCCTAAAAATGGGGCAGATGAGCACACAGTGAAGAAACCCATGCTGTTACATCTTTTACTGACAAGTTTGTTAGCCTATAACACGGCCCCTCATGCCCACTATTGTCTAAGATAGATGGGCAGGAAGAGCGGGTGCATCACTGGGGTTATGAAGTAGGAATCCCTCTTCGTTTACGTTTTAAGTTTGGCCCATGACATCCCAGAGGGGCTTAACAGTTAGCTCTGTTATCCAAAAGCCATCCTCAGATTCTGTGTTGAAAGATCTAAAAGAAAGTTTGAGGTAATGGAATAACAGTATAGCGTAATTCATCAATATTAAAAGAAAATTCTTTATTAGGATTGGAGGCTACATCTCTGAAACAGTGATATTAACTAGTTTTCTTTTCATAGTGTAATGAAGTAACAGTCCTGAACTCAACCTTATTTATATAGCTTCAAACATAACAGAATGCAGCCTAAAGTGCTTCACAACAGAAAAGAGTAACACCAGCAGTGGCGTTCTGAAAGAGCTGTAGTTTAAATTACTGTAAATTACAATAATCAACGTGACTGGTAATAAAAGAATGAAATGAGCATGAGTGGGATAAAAACGGTCTTTTTGAAATTTTTTCTCAGATAATAAAATAAAGCACCCGTGATCTTCTTAAAATGAGCATTCAAATTTACACCAGAATCTGAAACCACCAGGTTTGTGACCCTTGTATTTATTTGCCTGTTAACTTGTGGTCAGACAGATATACACAGTTGAGTGTCGTCAGCATAGAGATGGAAATTGATGTGGTGACGTGCAATGATATTTCTGAGTAGAAACATGTATGTTCAGTTAAAATAAAATGGGCCCAAGGATGCTCCCCTGAGGCACACCATATTTAAAGAATGTAAAAACAATAAAATATTGTCCAGGAGTTGAATACGATCTCTACAACTGTAAAATCCTGAGAGATCAAGGTTCAAACTACATCAAAACATTGCTGTTCAATTGGTTTGGGAGGTTGAAACATGTTTCTTTATTATGAATATCAATTAAAACTTGTAGGTAGATGAATCTAATGTAAAAAATAAAATCCTTTTAAAGAAACTCACTTTAATGTGACAGAAGTGAGTGTAACTGCACATAGCTATGTAACACATAACTCAAAAATCCACTCAGATTAGCTTTCAAAACCTTTGAGTGTGTAGCAGCTTGTCTTTGTTGGATTAGTCATGACAGTAAAAGTAGAAAGGTCAAGGTTTCATAATTACAAGACAAGACTTTACAATAACAGTTCATATCCGTTTCACTTTTAAATCTACAAAGATTTATAGTTTTATTTGATTGTCAGTGAAAGTATAATATGATATGAGAAGTTTCATTCGAAAGTTTTATTCAGGGATTTAAAGGCAATCATACAAAAAGACACAACTGTTAAAGGTAAGTCCCCAATGTCTACTTAGACTGAAGCTTGATAAATTTACTCAGTATTAAAACAATTATTTAAAAAAATATTGATATTTGGCTATTGCTCAAAACAGATCATTCTCTATTGCTGCCTCAGAAAAAGTATGAAAAACAGAAAATGACTGAAATCACATTTAGGGCTATATGTAAGAGTATCAAAAAAGAGGGGGACGATATGGTCATGTTATTTCACAGTAAGAAAAGCAAGTCCAAGTTATGAAACGGTCTTTCAACATTAAAACTCTTTGTCACTGAAAGTGTCAGAAAATGAAATTCATTGTTGTCCATTTTATTACATTCGTATAATTGCACATCCTAACATGTAAACGGCACTGTAATGCTGTAAAAGATCAAAATTGATCTCTCACTGAGTAGTGAAGTCTGTAAAAATGCACCTCAACCCTCACCATGTAAGAATTCATCACATTTACTTGATGTTTCAACATGTCTGTGTCCAGAAATCTGGATTTAAAAAGTCCCATTACCTTTACATAAACAAAGTAAATGTAGAAGAAAGGAAAATATTTTCCCCAATATATTATATAAAAAGTGACGCCATCAGCTTAGGACTTCTGCATGACACAATCAGAGGAAAATAACACATTAGAAGTTTTGTGTGATCTTTCTTTGTGAATCTCAGACGTGTTTTCTCTTCCTGTTGTGCCTCTTCCTCCTCTGGACAACCTTAAGCAAAGTCCCCATCACCTTGGGATGAGCACATATGGGCATTATGCTGCCTCTAACATGCAGTCTGTGGAACCACAAAAAAAAAGAAAGAAATTGTGTTTCATTTTAGCAGAACAGAAGAAAAATATACTTCATATCCAAGGAAATACAATTACAGGTATTAAAGCATTAAAGTCACTTCTTGGGGAACATTGTGTCAGAGAAAGCAGTCAGTGATCTTTAACTTACATCAGTGCAGAAATGTCACAGGCGCCGTTGTTTTGCTGCACCTCCCATCTTACGACCTTACGCAGCGTTTT